TGTAAATTCTAAATTTAAACTAGGTCAGTAAATTTATTATAATTTTTATTCAGAAGTTAAGTTTTTTTTTTTTTTTTTTTAATTATCTTCGCTTCCAACAAGGTTGCAAGCAACCACTTATTAGTGTTGGAAGTTACTGGAAGAGAAAAGATGAAGATTGTAGAGCAAGATAACGATTAAAGACGACTTAAAATATTGCAAATTATATGAATCAGGAAAGCAAGATGAAGGAAGCGAATTCCAAAGAACTGATGTTCGAGGAAAAAAACTAGACGAATAAGAGTTTTCGGAGCACTTAAGAACAGTAACAGTAAAAGGATGAGATTTAATTGAATGACGAGTAACACAAGAATAAATTTTAGTAGATGGCACAAGAGACGCTAGCTCTTTAGAGCAATGCCCATTATAGTATTTGTAGAAAAGAAAAAGAGAAGCAACATTACGACGATGTGACAGAGGTTGAAGGTTGGCTGCAAGAGCAGGTCCAACAATGTTTACAATGCGTTTTTGCACTTTGTCTAAAAGAGAAAGGGCATCATTAGAAGATCTGCACCAGATATGGCAACAGTATTCCATAAAAGGCCGGATTTGAGATTTATAGAGATAGAGAATAGAATCTAGAGTAAGAAAGTGACGAGCTCGATAAAGAGAAGCAACTTTAGCAGATGCTAATTTTGCAACAGATTTGATATAAGGTTTCCAAGAAAGATCAGAAGTAAGAGTTAATCCTAGAAGATGAAGGGTAGGAGACTCATCGAGTACATTACCGTTCAAAAATATAGGAAGGTCTAAATTATTGCGATAACGATTGTCCAAAAAAAATTGAGTTTTATCTGAATTAAAGTTCACCAGCCACTGCGAGCTCCATGCTGTAGCAGAAGTGAGATTCTTTTCGAGCTCAGATGCCCCCTGCAAGCAATCAGAGGGAGTTGGCTTCTTATTGTGACAAGAATAAATGGTAGTATCATCAGCGAACAATGCCACTTTCGATGTGAGAATATCAGGAAGATTCTTAATGTAAATTAAAAAGAGTATAGAAACAAGGATTGAACCTTGGGGAACCCCTGAGGTTACAGAATAAGAAGAAGAGTGCTATCCATCAAGGACAACTTTTATACTACGATTGGAAAGGAAGGATTCAATAATCTTAAAGATGTTTTCAGATACACCATAGGAAGAAAGCTTATGGAGGAGACCAGCATGCCAAACTTTATCAAACGCTTTAGAAATGTCAAGAGCAATGGCCTTAACCTCTCCACCTTTATCTAATGCGCGATAAAACCTATTGGTTATTACTGATAGCAAATCAGCTGTAGAACAAGAAGATCAAAATTCATATTGATGATCAGAAAGTAGGTTATGAGATTCGAGATAAGAGATTAAGTGTTTGTTAATTAAAGATTCAAAAACCTTGCTTATGATAGGAAGAAGACTAATGGGACGGTAGTTAGACGAATCGGATTGCTCTCCAGAATTTTTTTAAAAATAGGGATAACAGATGCTGCTTTCCAGCAGGCTGGAAAACAAGAGTCCGATTAGCACTTATTGAATAGTTTTGAAAGGATAGATGACAGCTCCGGAGAACACTTCTGCAAGACTATAACAGGTATGTTGCCCGGGCCGCAAGCTGTAGAAGAGTCTAAGCGGGAAATCACTTTAGATACAGAAGCTGGAGTGATACGAATGTCGAGCAATGGATCAACCTGTTTGACGGGTATATCAGGTAAAACGCAACTAGTGGCATCAAGTGATGATATTGATGAAAAGTTCTTGGCAAACAATTCAGCTTTGTCTTTAGGTGAGGTGACAAAGTCTGAACCGTACAAAAGAGGTGGAATTACAGACTTGCCCTAATTATTGATACTATTAAAGATTCTCCAGAAGTAACGAGAGCCTGATTTTTGTGATGAAATTCGAGATTTCATGATCTGAGAATAGCGGGTTTTGGCTCTAGACAAAACCTTTTTACAATGGTCCTAGCAGTAATAAAGAGACGTCTGTTTTCTGGATAATTGTTTTGCTGATAGATATGGAATTAATGGTTTCGATTGGCAATTGCAGCAGCACAATGTGAAGAAAACCATGGAGAAGAGTGAGGCTTGATCTGGAATCATCGAGAGGGAATAAAGGATTTTATGCCAGCCTGAATCCACGAAGTTATGTAAGAAGCACATTTGTCAACTGGGAGACAAAAGATTTCTACCCAGGGGCCATCATGAAGAAAGTCACGAACAGAGTCCCAGTCAGCTTTAAGGTAGTTGTAAGATGTACGATGATAGGGGGATTCTAATGGTGAAGAAGAATGAGATAATAGTTTTAGAGAGACCAAACTATGATCAGACGCACCTAAGGGTGAATGTGCAGAAACTGAACACTGACTAGGATCAGAAACAAGACATAAGTCGAGTAGAGAAGGTAAATGATTCGGGTTGTCTGGAAAGCGAGTGGAAAGTTGACTATTTGAGTTAGGGATTGAGAAAGACAAAAGTTGTGGGCCTTAATGCCTGCAGAGTCACTGACACTAGAGCCAAGTCATTCAGTGTGATGAACATTAAAGTCACCGACAACAACAATATTGGGTGATGGATAAAGAATGAGGGCGTGGTCCATATAATCAGAAATAACATCAAAAAGAGTGCAGTCTTGGGATGAGGGAGAGCGATATAGAACAAAGAAAAAGGTGATAGAGTGAAGTGGTGCTAAACGAAAGCACATAAAAGAGTAGTCTGTGGATTCAAACCTAGTTTCCCGACAAATGGGTGAATTCTTACGAATGTAAATGCCCAGGCCCAGCATGTGACCATTGGAGTCTTTACGAATTAAAGGAAGATAACCATCAAGGCTAAGATCACAAGATGAGACAGCTGAACTCAAATTAGTCTCACAAAGATCAAACAGGATGGTGAACTTTGCAAGAGATAAGACTCAACAGAAGAAAAGTTACTTTGAAGACCACGAATATTGGTGAATGAAAGGTTTAGCGAACTTGGTGATGACTTTGGTTTTTTGTGTTTTACAGGTTTTGTTACTTTATTCATTTTTAAATTTGTTAAAGAACTTGACTCAAAACATTGATAGTACTCAGTACACTGTTCTATAGCTCAAGCAATTGCCTCATTTCCACTAATAAACCCTAAGCCGTAACAAGGGCTCCAATGTGGCCTTGGCAATGCACACCAAAAGTACAAACAGGGACACCATCCATGCGCAACATGGCATTGTTAGTACTCTGATATTTTTCAGCTGTTGATGGAATCAGCCTCTTTGAGAGCTACCACAGAGTTCGGGAAACTTGACTACTAGCCGGCCTCAGAACCATAAAGCTGAGTTTTAGAGCTGTACCCTCATTTAGAGATAATAGAATGAGTTGCCTAGTCATAAAAACAGAGACACAAGCAAAACCCATGAATCGAGTCAAGAAGATTCAGCGTTCAATATCCTAAACTGGAAACAATGTATTAAAAATACATCTGCGCCAGCCTAATAGATGACGAAGGGGTGCGAGGCTGGTTAACAGATAGAATCTGTTTACCATTAGATAGAATCTGTTTACCCTAAGTCTTTGCCTAGGAGGCCTTCTACAAGACAGCAGCGGGATGCATGTAACATCTGCCCAAGATGAGTATTTTTTTCGAGACACCATCTCTAGCCTTTACTCAACCAAGAGCCCCAAGGCAGGGGGTGTTTTATGTTGGAGTTTGCATCTCCTAGCCTTTGCCTAAAAAGGCATATCCTACAAGGCAGCAGTACATGAAGCAGATTGTACTGGGTTACATGTTACCAGTAGCAGGACAAACCTGACCTGACAAAAAGTTATAGAATTAGTAAATTTATAGAATTAGTAAAGTTATAGAATCAGTAAAGTTATAGAATTAGTAAATTTTTTATAATTTTTATTAAAAAATGTTATTTTGTTTAAAAGTTGTTTATATAATTTTATAATTTAATATCAATGTGATATTAATATGTTTATGTTTTAAATATTATAATGTATATATAATGTATTTATTAATAATAAGAAACTGTATTCTGTTTTTTTATTTAATTACAGTTTAATATTATTGTATGTATATATAAAAAAAAAACATATATATATATATATATATATATACATATATATATATATATATATATATATATATATATATATATATATATATATATATAAATATATATATATATATATATATATATACATATATGTATATTTATATGTATATATATATATATATATATATATATGTATAAAGATTGATATAATATATATAATATCAAAATTTTGATTATTATTTTAATTTTTGTTAGTTTTTTTTTTGTTTAACATTTACCATTTAATTTTTTGTTTATATTAAACAATTTCTTTTTAAGTTATATTTAACATTTAATTTTTCTTTAGATCGTCTGTTAGTATCAGTAAAGTTATAGAATTAGTAAATTTTTTATAATTTTTATTAAAAAATGTTATTTTGTTTAAAAGTTGTATATATAATTTTATAATTTAATATCAATGTGATATTAATATGTTTATGTTTTAAATATTATAATGTATATATAATGTATTTATTAATAATAAGAAACTGTATTCAGTTTTTTTATTTAATTACAGTTTAATATTATTGTATGTATATATAAATATATATATATATATATATATATATATATATATATATATATATATATATATATATATATATACATATATATATATATATATATATATATATATATATATATATATATATATATATATATATATATATATATATATATATATATATAAATATATATATATATATATATATATATATATATATATATTTATATGTTTATATATATATATATATATGTATAAAGATTGATATAATATATATAATATCAAAATTTTGATTATTATTTTAATTTTTGTTAGTTTTTTTTTTGTTTAACATTTACCATTTAATTTTTTGTTTATATTAAACAATTTCTTTTTAAGTTATATTTAACATTTAATTTTTCTTTAGATCGTCTGTCTAAAAGTATTTACCCTTTTTCTTATGATGTTTCTAATTTATTCTACGAATGTTTTTATGAAAGTCAATCGTCATTCACTGATGAAATAAAATCACTCGTTAATAAACAAAAGTTTGGTATTTCGATTGACGATGGAAAAACTTCTTACGCAACTTCTTGCGAGAATTATTTCGTAAATAATTACATACAATATGGAGGAAAGTTATGGTTGTTAAATGTTGATAAAGATATATTAAGTGATGAAGAAAAAAATCTTTTAATTCGATGTTCAACCAATGTTCGAATTGTCACCATTCGTCGTCCAATTAATTTCGAAGGGTGGAAACCGAAAGATAAGATTGAAGTGTTGTGGATATGGATCTCAGGTTATAGAGTAACAAAAAAATATTTTGAAGAAAACTATCTTCCTTGGATTAATCTTTGTGAAGATTTAGAACTTGATCTTCACTACGATATTGGTCTCATTAAAGAGATTTATGAATGGATTCGTTGTTCGAACATCAAGAAGTTTGGGATCAAGTACCGTGAACGATATTATCGTACCTTCGATGAATTAAATGAATTTTCAGGAACAAAATTGTATCCAACACCGTTGAAAGTATTACCTTAACCTCGATGAATTAACTTTATAACTCGAAAAAATGTTAAATATTTTAAATATATAAGATAAAAACAATAATTATAAAATATTAAATAAAATAATTAATGTATTTTTAAATAATAAAAATATTAATAAATTATATTATTTAGTTAACTTTTTTATAACTATATATGCTTTAAATATACAAAATAATTTTAATATATTTGATTTAAATGTAAAAATTCAATATTATATTAGTATATAATTCATATTTATAATTAACTCTTTTTAAAATATGTTAATAAAAATAGAAATTGTATAACCTATTAAATATATAATTATATTTGTGGTATGTAGTTTTTTATATTTATTATTTTTTTAACATTTTCAATAATAATAATAATAACATTAAATTATAAATAATAAAAATTGATAATATTCTTTATTTAATTTTATAATATTTTTGTATATGCTTTGTTTTTATGTTTATTCTTTTGAAACAATGAATATTTAAATATAAATAATATCAAAAGCAGCAAAAAGCAACCCGTAATACGGGTTTTGGTCGGTCTGTTACATAATTAATTTATAGTGGCAGTTTTCCACAATTTAATGTTGCAAAACCTTAACTAATACCCTTTTAGAAAATCGCCTTCAGCTTGAAAAAATTAATCCATCTGTAAAATTAACATAAAAAGGATGAGGGGGTAAAACAATTTACCAACTGCAACTACTACTTAACATTTACTATTACTACTTAACATTATTTAAGTATTTTACAAATGGCATAGGTCATAACAGTGTAAGGCAGATCCATTTTCATCGACCTTCCTAAGTTTAACACAATACGTTTTTAGTTACTGACACAAAATAATAACACTTCGTCATGCTTTAAATTGACGAAAGTACTAACGAAATCTTTGTAAAAAATTTTATAACACGAACCATTAAGATTAAAATAAAGTTAAAAAGAATAAATTATATTATAACAGCAGTTATCATTTTTTTGGTATCCCCTTGATTAATTTTTCTTTAAAAAAGAAAATTGTTAACTTAAAAATGTTTAATGACAAACATGGGTATAATAAATTTGAAAAAATATGTAAACTTAATGCATTAATGCATCGTATGACAAACCTAAAATAAAAATTATAACTGACAAGTAGACATAAAAATTTGTAAACCAAGCTGACCCGACCCGGGTCTTGATAAGTCTGTTCAACACAGACCATTTCTATATTATTTGTTGGGCCTCTTTATTTCATTAATTTTTAGTAAACGGTGTTTTGCCAACATTTACTAAAAATTCCTTTGTAACTCGAAATTTAATTTTCTTAAATATTTTGACTCTAATAAAGAAGTTTCTCCCCTTTTTTGCTTTAATGGTGACCAGGTGAATAAAATAAAATGATAAAATGTAAAACAATGATCTACATATATAAGAATGTTTTCTTTCTTTCCTCAAACGTGTTGCAAATACAGACTAAGCTAACTAATTAGTTAAACACATAAATAAAACTTGAGTAACTCGATATTAATGCGCAAAACTACAATATTCTCCATGTTTTTAAAGGTTTTTAGTTACGACCCCCCATTTACAAAGATCCCCTTAAAATACGTACAACAAATTATTAGGCATAAAATAGATAAAAGAGAAAATTAACTAATAGCATATATTTATATCTTTTTAACTAAGAAAAATTTACATAAAAAGAAATCAGGATTTTTTATTTTATAAATCTTATAAATGCGTCATAACGTAATTCTAAAAAAAAAGGTAATGAAATTATGATATCATAATTACAAAGAAGAAAAAAAAAAACCACTACACAATTACCGAAAATCGATTTACCTATTTATAGTAACCTATTTTAAAGTCGCAGTTAAAGATTTATCAAAAATGTAATTATAAAATCTGTTTCGAAGTACAAATGCATTAACAATACTAAGAAAAAAATCAAACTAAGATATAAATAGTTGTCTTGGCTTTTATAATTTAAACATAAATACAACTGTAAACAAATATGACTTTATAACACATATAAACACATTTTACAACTATTGAATGATAGATATATTTATCAAAAACTATGAAAAAAAAAAAATAATGATAAATAAAGTTATATATACAAAATGTGCTCACAACCTTTAACAGTAAATTTTCGAAATGAAAATCTCAAGACTATAAATTAAGAACATTAAAAAATATAACAATATTTATGTTACATTTTTTTACCTACTATAACTTGAATAAGTTATTTATCAATTTTGAAAAACAAACTATTAAATGCTCTAGTTCTTGAAAATGCAACATATAGTTGACCATGAGAGAAACATGGTTTTTGAGATATTTCTTTTGTCTATATTTTACGTTACGTTACGTAATATATAGACGATCTCTAAAATAAAATACTTGAAACTAAAAAATTTTATTTATTACAATAACCAATAACAACCAAGGAACAATTTTAAAAATTATATCTTTAAATTGCAAATTATCAATCGCAGTATTAAAAAATACGCAAGAGCTCAGTAATTACATGAGTTTAATCTATTCTCTCTCTATACTAATTCTTATTTGAGTCTCATCTAAAAATCTACAAAATTAAAACTATGTTTCAACAGTAAGCAAAATAATCAAGTGATGACAAAGACATCTAAAAAAAAAATGAACACAATTATGTTTAAGATTACAAATTAAAAAAAAAAAAAAATCAATAAAAATTAAAACTGTTATTACTTGTTACTATATTTAGTAAAATTCATACATTAAAATTAAAATATTAAAAATAGTAAAATTCATACTTTAAAATTAAAATATTAAAAATAGTAAAATCCATACTTTAAAATTAATATTTTAAAGTGTCTAATGTAAAATCAAATAATAGACATCAACACTGCTTGACACTAAATTCTGTCAAAAAAGTTTTCTGTTCATCAAGCAAAATTTCTTATATTTCAACGACAATTAATTTTATCACGCCTAGATCTATTTCTTTCATATGACAACAATTTTAAGTCACCTATAACCATTTACACTAATAACTTCATCGAGCCTAATATTATACATCTGTTATAATTAAATATATTACCAGTGATTATACTACTGTTACAACTGAATAAATGAACGCTTTATATTTTTACAACTGAAAAATATAAAACAAAATTTTTGACATTATTTTAATTTAGCAAAGAATTTAAACTACAATGCAAGGTTATTTTTACCTTCAGACACAGTCTTAATGCACAAAAATAATAAATGCTGAATCTTGTATAAAAAATGAAAAGTATGTTTATATATTTAAATTTTTTCTATTCTTTTTAATTTTTTCTATGAGATAATATTTATATAGATTCACAGAAATATAAAATATTCTGATATATAGGCACATTTATGTATATATACTTACCTGTCAAAAATTACAGTCAGTTTTTATGTTAAATACATAAAATATACATCTAATATAAAATAAAACAAAACATTAAACTTACTCAAATCAGTAACATTTAGCTTTTTCCAATTGCACTAAAAAATAAAATAAATCTTGCTTTGCTAAATTGCCTAGTTCTTAAGAATCTGAAAACAAATAAGTAAAAAACCAAGAACAAACAAACATTCATTTATCAAAACTACTCTATTTAAACAAATTAAATTAAACAGAGAACAACATTGATTCTCCTTGAAAGCTGAAAAACTTTTCAGCTCAAATTTGCTTGCAGACCTTGCTTATAAAACCACTTTAATAAGAAAAGCATCAAAAAAGCCTAGAAGCTACTTAAAAATGGTGTATGTAACATTGAACTTTTAATGTTGACTGGAGTAGATATATACTTTTAAAAAATCAAAATGATTTGTTCTTTTATAGCAAATAAAACCACTATAAATCTGAAATTAAAAATGTAACAAATTAGTGAATACAAAGAAAAACATCATATCTAAATTGAAAATCAATGTACCTGCTAGAGATCAGCTGTTATGATACCTGAGAGTAGTAGTTGCTAAATATTGTTTTTTCATGATAAACAAAATGTGTTTATAGCAAAATGGTCTTGAATGAATTTTAGTAAATAAATAAAAGCAGTGAGTTCTAGTAATGAAACTACCTATTAATCATTTTTAACAGCTGACACCATTGTAAAGATAAGCCAAAGGTAACAACATTACGCAAAAAATTATTAAAGATAATGCAATGTGTTTTTATATATTTATAATAGTTATATACTTAGACCTAAAGTAGTAACATCGCTTGACTGGTAAGGTTGATAAATCTTGTTCTACACGTTTGCCAAGTTACTCCACTTTGAAATCATGGAAACAACATTATATAGACATATATACTAATTATAAAACACAATATTTTTTTAATGTTACTTAGCATATAAAAACACCCCATTTTACAATCTTGCACAAATTAGATATAACACATTTTACTATTATAAAAACACATTTATATAAACTCATTTATAAAACAACTATATAACATATATCACCCCATACATGTATTTATCAAAAAATGTTAAACTTTGAGCATAATATACATGCAAACTTATATGCAATCTTTTAACAACTATAAAACAACATGTATTAGCATCAATTATTTTTAATGTAACAAAGAATGCAGACTACAATGTACAACATTGTTAATAAAAATGAAATTATATCAGTCAGTGTATATTAATCTAAAGCAATGAAAAAGAACCATTTAAGAACAAAATTAAAAATTTCTAATAAATACATATTTAGATACCTTAAAATGAAGCATAGAACAAAACTTTTTTGACAAATTGCAGAAGAAATTTTCTTAACTTTCTATTTCTATTCCTTAATATTTATATTAAGAGAATATATATATATATATAGATATAGAGAAATATAAAATAGACTGATTTCCAGAAGAAATTTTATTTATTTTTTTATTCTCAATTATTTTTGCTAAGAGAAAATACATATAAATATACATATATATATACATAACAAACTAACAATTATTTAAATTTTTATTTTAAAAAATAAACAACATTAATTTTTCTTGAAAATAAGTGTATCAGCTCCAATTTGCTTGCTGATTTTACTCGAATGACCGCGTGGAATATATAACTGCGCTTAGAAAATTCTAGAAGCAAAGAAATAGTGTATTTTACATAATGCAGAACCGTAATTAA